GTTAAATACTTCATTCCAATTTTTAAGACATTTGTAAGCTTATAGTTAATATACCTAGAAAAATGTAGATTTGGCTCTTAGTAGAGTTTCGCTTTGTGCTACCCGAATTTCCTGAAATTCTCGAAAGTTATTTTTGGTAACAACCAGAACTCAAATATCAAATTTCAAGAAATTCCATGAATTTGTTTCGTAAATATGGTGAAAAATGTAAAATCGGTCCGCAAATCAGTTTTCGAGCTCTGATCTTTCTAAAAAATTTATACGTTCATTGTTTTAATACGAGGAATTCAAATATTGAATTTCAATGAAATCGGTTGATTATATCTCTTTATATACACAAAAATGCATATTTGGCCTGTAGTAAATGCCCAGTTGCTGATGCCTGATTTCTTCCAAAAGTTAGAAATTTTCGCGTACGGTTGAGCAAAGCTTATATATGAAATTTCAAGTAAATCGGTTGAATATTTTCTTCAAAATGTTCAAAAAAGTAAAGCAGGCCCGCTAAAAAGTGCAGTTCCCGAGGCCTGATATATCCCAAAAGAGCTAAAAAAAAATCTATTCTGAACCTCATGCAATTTGCAGTCCATCGCTACTGAGACTAATTGCTCAAATGAAAAATCTTGCACTAATTGCATCAAACTTTCTATGCAATCAGCTGCCGGATCTTCCCTTGACTCTTCGCCTCGATGTTCGAACCTACTTTTTTCAAAACTCCCAGTGACCACCACAGTGAGTAGCCTTAAGTTGTTATAAAATAGTAAATTCAAGTGCTGTAATGTAACCTTACCTAATATCACTCCAAATAACTTAAAATACAAGCCAAAATATAAGTCTTTTAAAGTCTTTTAAATATTTATACTCTGTGATATTATTGACTGTAATTTTACGGAAACTTAGTAGTCCCCCTCCATTAATAATCCTGAATTATTTAACTTTTAATTTCCTGTTTCTAGAAAGGAGCGACATGAGCTTCTCTTGCAGAGATACCCACCAAAAGGAGATGGATTATTAATCGTTGTTATCAGCTAATAGTATTGACATTCAAGACTCCGAAGATCTTGAAATCATTGCAGTTAAAATTAAGCTGAATTGTAACACGCTTTTCTCAGTCAATTGCTATTTACCGTCTAACTCAAGTAATGAACTACATATATGCAAAATTAAGTATGCAATTTACTTCACCCGGAGGATGTGGTTTTTGTATTCGGAGATTTTAATCTCCTCATAATTAGGTGAATGACTCATGATGAGGAACTGTTTTTTCATGATGAGCGGGAATACAAAAAATAGTTTCTAAACTATTTTCAAATTTTTTTCGTAACTTTTTTGCCGAATCTTACCCTTTTTCATCTTTTCAAATAGATGTTGACAACTTTCGGCACATTGATAACTATCCCTTTGCAAACTACCTTTGCAAATTTTTGTAACTAACTCTTCTGCGGTTGAAAAATATCTTTCCAATTTGGGATCTAGCCTAGCTCCAGGCCTATCTTAACCGAAATTTTTAATAATTCTCTTAAACTTAAAAGTAAATCTTATTCTTCGGGTATTTTTCCTTCCGTGTGGAACGAAACTTTCGTTAGGCCAAACCATAAGAAAAACAATAAAAATGACGTGACAAACTACCGTCCTATTGCTAAACTGTCGCCGATTTCTAAGGTTTTTGAGTTGATGGCATATGACAATATTTATTAACGTTGTATGCTATTCATTAGTAGGCGTCATGGCTTCTTCAAGACTTGGTAGAAGCCACGACAGTTTTCTCAAATAATATGGAAAATGTGTATCAGACGGACGTAATTTAAACATACTTCAGGAAAGCCTTTGACATTCTACCACATGACGTTATTATTTAATAATTGAATTTCTTAGAATACTTTAACAACTTCTTAGTTTGGATAAAGTCATATCTCTCTGGTAGGACTTACAGAGTCCTCTTTCGTTCAGCAATTTCTTCACTTCCTGCGTCTAATTCTGGTGTACCCCAGGGTAGTCACTTAGGTCCACTGCTGTTCATAATTTCAATTAATGATGTTGTTTGATGTGGATAAAGTCATATCTCTCTGGTAGGACTTACAGAGTCCTCTTTCGTTCAGCAATTTCTTCACTTCCTGCGTCTAATTCTGGTGTCCCCTAGGGTAGTCACTTAGGTCCACTGCTGTTCATAATTCCAATTAATGATGTTGTTTCCGTCCAAGTAATGATGTTGAATACTAACGCAAAGTGAGGTACTAATATATGTTAACGACATGAGAGTTTTCAAAAAAATAGACTCTACTAATGATACGATATATCTTCAGGATGTTCTTTACCACTTTTATTGATAGTGTTCAAGTAGTAACCTGAAAATTATGGTAAGTAAATGTGATCAAATGTGCTACTCTAGGCAAAGAAAGTCATTTTTAACAAGGTATACTTTGAATGGCCAAGCTCTTAGGCGAGTTGATTCAATAATGAACCTGCGTGTTTGCCTTGATAGCAAGTTATCATTCAAAAGCCACTACAATCATAGCATATGTAAATCCAGCTCGATGTTGGGTTTCATTAAACACTGGTCAAACGAGTTTAATGTTGCTTATGTCTAAAAATCGCTCTACACGTTCCTTGTCCGTTCTCATCTTGAATATGCGTCGCAAGTATGGTCACCCCATTACTGTATAAATATTAACCGGATTGAGTCTATTCAAAAAAAATTTTTGTAGTTCGCACTAACCATTATTTCTATCATCAGTGCGAACCCATAATTTTTCTATGGACACAGACTCAAATGAATTGACTTACTCACACTATGTAAAAGACGTGTTGTTGCGGATTTGTTATTCATTTTTCAGCTTATGAAAACTGACTTTATCTCTCCCGACATTTTAAATAAAGTTGTGACTAGTAAGGATCAGTTATGGGAAACATGAACCTGTAGTAGAATGCTGCGTTTATGCGACAAACACAAACACAGACTTGACTTTTCACTGAATATGCACGCTGAAAAAGTTTCTACTTACTTATAGTTAAGTATAACCTTTTTTAACAAATTCTTGTTTTAGTTTTTCATTGTTTATACACATATTTAATGAGGTATTAGCACTAATAAGTTTTATTTTGTATAATTTTTAAATTTAATTTTTAAATCAAAAATTTGTCTAAAAAAAATGTCTGTTTTTTTCACTGTCTAAAAAAAAGGTATACACTTAGTAGAAAAGTCTACGTACCCATAAATTTTGCACCAAAAAAAGATCAATTATATTGTTTAAAAATTTCCATTTTTTTAATGATTTTTATAGAATTCAATATTTCAAAATATAACATTTCATTTTACAAAAAAAAACAACAGAAAAACAAAAAAAAACAAAATTCCATATGGAAAACGAGCAGAAAAAGTCTGCGTACAATATCTGATTAACTCTTCTGTACCAAAAGTAATAAATAATTTTAAAGAAACAGGTTCTCTTGTCTCTAAGTCACGTTTTGGTTGCCCATCTAAATTGACGCCTAATAAGAAATGCGACGTAGTCAAAAGTGTAAGAATAAAGCCAAGATTGGCATGTGAAATTGCAAAAAATAATAAATTTATATTTAAAAAAAACATTTGCGCTAATACTGTGTGCAAAACTCTCAGATAGGCTACTTATAAAAACCGAGTGGTACGTAGAAAGCCCCTAACATATAGAGTAAATCGTTTAAAACGTAAAGAATTAAAGAATTAAAACATATTAATAAGCCCCTTAGCTTTTAGGAGGATTATTTAGATATTTTAAAAGAGAATTTAAGAGATAGTGTTGAGATTGTATAATGTCAGAAAGCAGTTGCATTAATCCTCCAATCTCCCGATTTCAATACCAAAGGAACCATAAGTTCTAAAAAAATGTTGAAAGATGTCATAACAAAAGAATGGTCAAAAATCATAATTGAAGAAACTTCAAAACTGGTTCATTTCATGCCAAAAAGGTGACGAGAAGTTTTTGCAAGAAAAGGCTACCCAACTTCATACTAATATTGTGAATTTAGTCACATTGATTTCAAATCTTAAATGCTTCTTCTGGTAGTTTTTCGTATGAAATTTTGTTTTTGTTTGTTTTTTTGTTATTCTTTTTTTTTTGTAAAATGAAATGTTATATTTTGAAATGTCAATTCAAAAAGTCGTAAAAAGATCTCTATATTAGTTTTTTAAGTATTTAAAATAATCTGTTGTATGTTGTATGGTAGCTACCCGAACCCGTTCTGGGAATTGTTTCGATTGCAATGGTAGCCGTTCTTGACAGAAAAGAAACAACTTGTGTTTGGTGGTGTTTGTTTTATGTCCATATATACGTCCATAATGAAGACTCATCCAAGTAGTTAAAACTGCATACCAAAGTTTATATACCCTTAACGAAGGTGCAGGGTATCTAAAAATCAGCAATTTAAAACTTTTTTTTTTTAATTTTTGATAGCACTTTTCTTCTAGACGCTGTTGATTAGAAGGCTTCCCAAGGTATCTCCTCTTGAAATTCAAACCATTCGAGTTTTCGGTATCTTATTTTTCCACAACTGCAAGCTTTTCTAAATTTGTATATGCCGTGCCATCAAAACAAATAAGTAATTATTTTAACTCGTTACTGAATCATCCAAAATAACCAACGCTTTTTTCAATTTTTTATTGTTTTTGCTAATCCTAAATGTAAAAATTTTTTTTTAAATTTCTGACACTGTTAATTGATACTCGTGGGTTTAACTGATACTCATGGCTCTTTTTTTTTCAAAAAAATATGTAAAAATTTGAATTACAGCTTAAACACATTACATTAACAAATTAAATCGTTCAAATGGTTAAGTAATTATAAATAATATTCTGTAAACTTAACTAGTGGCCATATCTTTTTATAAATAAAAAAAAAATTAAATAAAAATTCTATAAAATATATTTTTCGAATAAATACTTATTTGTTTAGTACTAAAAAAGTTTAACGAAACAAAATAAAAATTACTTTGAAAAATATAAAGTAACTAAATCATGACTACTACAGTGTCATCATCCGAACCATCAAGTCAGCCAAATAGCCTCGATTTGGACTATGATATGTGGCAGGGACAATTTGAATTTGTTGGGAATAATAACAAAAATTCATCGCCTAGTGATAACCGATCTAGTCAAGTAAAAAGTAACAGTGTTAAAGATTTAAATTTTAATTTAAATGATTTAAATTTCTCTAATAAGCACCCGATATTGATTGATGAAGAAACATTTTTAAGTTTACATCCAAATGATTTTGATGATTGGAATAATTTATGTTTAAGTGATAACAGTTCATCTGGGCCAAATTCAACAATATATTTTGAAAATAAAGAAACAACCGATAAATCTTCAATTTTGCTCGATCTGGAAAATAAAAATTTAATGTATAGCAATTTATGTAAAATTGAAAATGCACCAAATAAAAATATACTAAATCAAAATAAAAATTCCAACAATTGCTTCAAAATTGAAGATATAAAAAATTTTAAAAATAAATTAATTTGTGATGAATTAACAGAAAAAATCATTTTAAGCAAAAATAATAACAACAAGGGCAATGTAAATTGCATCAGTAGTGTCGGACTTAATAAAAATAAAAAAATTAATAATGGAGAAGATTCTTACTTAGCGGACACAATGCAACATTCAAATGGAAAATTAAATTGCTTCACTGCCGAGATTTGTGACACTCTTAATGAACAAGTAAGATATTAAACAGAAATAAACTGAATAGTTAATACATTATGTTATATTTACATTCGAATTTTTCAATTTGCAATTTTTAAAATAAAATTAATGTCGAAATTTGAGAATACCATATTGAAATCACTAAATATTGGTGTAAATGTAGGTTTAAGATGATTTACATATACGTTACAATTCGAAAAATTATTTGCGCATACACAGATTTTTCTGTATTGAATCAAATTCGAAGAATATGAAAAGATCACTGTATGGTTAAACATATATTTTTATCCAAATATATCTACAATAAAAAGAACTTTAGATCTTTATAAAAGTGGATAATGTTAAAAAGTAATGGTGTAAATATCTTATTAAACGAAGTGGTGACGTTTATATGCACAAACGTTAAAAAGATATAGTTAAAAAGACTTCACTAATTTATGTTTCATTTTGCCCAAGGAAGGGTTCATTTTTTAGCACTTTTCCAAAATTTTTTGTAAAGTAGTACTTATTAGTTTCATCCGTCAAACCGTGGACATGTCTACAAAACTTCTACATTATTGAAGATAGAAAGCTGAAACTTCATATATACGTAGATCTTTATTAGAAACTTAAATCTCCCCTTCTCTAAAAGTTATAGTCGATCAAAGCCTCAAAAATGCTATCTTTTTACTATTTTTTTTGGAGCGAAACTATAAGCATTTTTCAAATTCTGTAAACGCATCATCATCCGAACCATCAAGTCAGCCAAATAGCCTCGATTTGGACTATGATATTTGGCAAGGACAATTTGAGTTTGTTGGCAATAATAACAAAAATTCATCGTCTAGTGATAACCGATCTAGTCAAGAAAGAAGTAACAGTATTGAAGACTTAAATTGCAAATGAACAAAAAAAGTGGCTGGCTTCTTTTACAGCGGTATATGGTGTACTTTAACTAATTTTAACTTTAAAAACAACTAAATGGCTAAAATTTATGTTTATCTAAGATCCGTGTTTTCCAAATTTTCGATATTCTTTGACTTCTAGACCCCAAGTTGTGAAAGAAGAACTTTTAGCAGCTTTTGGACGACAATAAACAGTTCATTTTGTTAGAATTTTTTCTAGTTGCATCCCCTCCCGGAATTTGTACAATTTGAATTTTTGGCAGGTTATATTTCCGAAACCGCAAGATTTTGCAAATTTCTACAAATGCAGAAAACTAACGGTAAAGTCCATGCCATTAAAAAATATAATTATTTTTCTTAACTCGGGCAATTAACCCTTAAAATCGAGGTTTATGTTAACACCTCTTTAAATTTATTGTTGCGTTATTTCAAAGACTGCCTAAATCGTTTATCTTAAATGTATGAAATACTTGGAATAGTTTCGCGAATGAATGAAAGAAATTTTAAAAGTGTGCTAGGTATACATAGATTGTTTTAAAAAGTGTTGATAAGTGTAACATAATTTTTTAAAAGATTGTTTCTAACTTGTTGAAGGGAAAAGTGCTACATTACAAACTACCTTAAGAAAGAGTGAGTTCACAGCTGACGAATTTACACTTATTCTTACGAGATCCATAACGACCACTTTTTAACATCATAAATCTCCCACAAGATAAACTGTTTTCAAATTTTTAATTAGAAAAACTTATTTTGCGTTATGAAAACATTAAAAAATTGATTTGAAAAAAACCTTTCAGTTTCAGTTCGTTTTTTAAAGATTTCAATAAAAGCTACCCTACAAGAAAAAATATCTGATATGTTCAGCACATAACCGACCGCAATGTGTATTGTTTAGTTAAGTGAAAGTGTTACAAAAAATTATAAAAATGTTTGTTAAATACTTCTTTCCAATTTTTGGGACATTAGTAAGCTTATAGTTAATATACCTAGAAAAATGTAAATAATTGGCTCTTAGTAGAGTTTCGCTTTGCGCTACCGAATTTCCTGAAATGCTCGCCAGTTAATTTCGGTAACAACCAGAACTCAAATATCAAATTTCAAGAAATTCCATCAATTCGTTTCGTAGATATGGTGATAAATGTAAAATCGCCCTGGTCTCTAGATATGGTCTTTCCAAAAAATTTATATGTTCATTCTTTTAATACGAAGGATTTAAATATTAAATTTTAATGAAATCGGTTGATAATTTCTCTTTGTATACGCAAAAATGTATATTTAGCACGTAGTGAACGTCCAGTTGCTGACACCTGATTTCTTTCAAAAGTTAAGGGGTTTCGTGGACGGCCGAGTGAAGCTTATATGTGAAATTTCAAGTAAATCGATTGAATATTTTCTTCAAAATGGTCAAAAATGTAAAACAGGCTCGCTAAAAAGTGCAGTTCTCGAGGCCTAATATATCGCAAAAGTTGATCAATCCGTGCCATGGTCGAAATAAACTTACATATAAAATTTCATTAAAATCGCGTGCACACACAGACCGACAGACCAACAGGTTGCCGATATGGGAAATTTGAAATATTTCTAATTACTTTAATCATTTTGTGTATGAATTATTCGAAATTTTGAGTACGAACGTTTGTTCGGAGGGTATACAAAATTTACTTTACCTTTTGTAACTCTAAGAAATAATAGTTTATATGTTTTTGATCAGCATTGAATTCTGGGTCGATTTGACCATGTCTGTCCATCTGTCTGTCCGTCCCAGTGATAACTCAAAAACTAATATATATTTTTTTTCATATTAAAAGAATCAATTCAAAATGATTTAAAATAACATAAATTTTCATTAATATATTATATTATGTATGTACATAACATGGTATAATTTCTTTGCTAATTACCTACATAAGGTACTATAAGGTTATATTTATGTTTTTTTTGCTTTTTGTTTTTTAAAACTCTATTATACATGGAAATTTTACTTTAAAAAATAGGTATTTCTTCTGAATATTTTACCATTATCTAAAATTTGAACCCAATTTAGGGTTTTATCTTTATTTACAATAATAGTTTGCAACATACGCTACGATGTCTGAGTAAATTTTTTTCACTAATAACAAATTCTACTTCGTTTTTTTCGATTGTAATATTAGATTCTTTACTTTTAAATTCAAAATTATTTTTAAGACTAATTGGAACAGATTTAATATGGCTTATTATTTCAGGTAAAAGTGATCTTGTTTTCATGCCTAACAACAGCTGACAAATTTAACTTTTTAATGTTGTATTACGATACTCAAGCAATAATAACCAATAATCCCCACTATTTGTCTTATTTATCATATTCTTAGCTATTTGCACTGCTTTTTCAGATAATCCACTTTTCGAATTTTCAGCATTTTCCAAAAAAATTAGAGAAAAAGTACTTATCATTCTGTTCGTCAGTCCGTATGTCTGTTTACAAAATTTCTACACCCTTGAAGAAACCTGTTTTATATGTACTTAGATCTTTACTAGAAACTAATTTCCGTAGAACAAGATTATTACATTTTAAATATGCAATTCTAGAAATAGTTTCATAATTATGAAAGAAAATGGTTTTAATAGTGTGGTAGGTATACATAAATTGTTTTTTAAAGTAGTATTTTCACTTGTTGAGGGAAAAGTGTTACAATACAAACCATTGGTTTGACCCAACTTTATTTAAATTGAAAACTTCTTAATGGAACATTGTCCGCAACAATTTACATTAGCAAACCAAACGTTGCAAAATTTGATTTAATTGCCCAAATAACACTACCTGCCGCTTTTTTTAAATTTAATTTACAAATTTCAATATATTTGGAGTAGTAATCAATTATTACTAAAAAATTTTTAACTTCAAACTAGAAAATGTTCATACATATTTTAAAAAATAGACCCTGCAGAATTTTATGGGATAATAATAACAAAATATAATTAATATAATTTTTGGCATATACCATATTTCTCAACTAACTTTTCAATATCGTAAGATAACTAAACGTAGTCTCCGCAATTTCAAAATGCAGTTTAAGCATTTTTCAAATTTTTTTCTCATAGAAGGAGGCACTAAAATTCTTTAATTAAAAAATATTATCTTATTATCTATGGATAAACTGTCCTTGAATTTCGAATAATATTTTATATTTTCTGGAACCTACTTTTTATTTTTAGATCAACCTGACATTAGCACATTTTTAAATTTGATGAATCTTTATTGGTCTCATCCTAAAATTTTTAGATCTTTTCTTCTGCCACATTATAAGAATGCACTTACCCATCTAAATCCTTTGCTGTTGCCTCGTTGGTTCCATTTTTAAAATATCTAGATAATAGATCCGGTATTAACATAAATTTCTTTACCTGACCAATAGTTATTGCACTGGTCCTTTAACTGAAGGATGATCCTGGTCAGGTCACTATAAAAATAATATTCAATATCATATAGCTATATACACATTATATATAAAAAAAATTAATATCAACCAATTGCCATATTTCTGCAGTAAAACTCAATGACGTAAGAGACAGGTTCATGGTAATCTACGATATTACGCACCAGTCCTGTGCCCTGAAGGACTGAAGTAAGATAAAAAGAAAAACATAAATTTTCAAATATCCCAACTTTATTTTATATTCCTGCAATTCGTTGTAATTTACCACAAGCTAGTAATCAGTCTAAACAATAAAATTCCTACAATATTATATTTTTTTTATTTTATTTTTTTTTATTCCCGGTCCAACCAAAGTAGCTCAGAAGAGAACTTCCATGAGCAAGATGGACGAAACAATTTCGCAAGATGATATCCCTCTATAGTCTCCGAATGAAGATTTATTTCAGCGTCAGCGATCTTGATGCCCTTCTGCCCGGCATCCAAATGAGTGTTGTTCTGTTTGCTAATGCCAATTCCACCAGCGCGAGGACGCAGCTCTAAACCAGCTTTAATGTGACCTGAGCCAGTTGAAAATGCTAACAATACCGCTCTGTTGTCAGATAGCACACAGATGGTGCGATTTCTATATCCCCTTTCTAAGTTTGCTCTCAGACACATAGTTCTATTGCATGTAATTCATCTTGAAATACTGAGCAATACGGATCCGGTCCAACAA